CAAAGGATACAATCAAAAAAATGAACACATATGAAAATGACAAATCGAATTTCAGAACAGAAGGGGGATGGGAGCGGGAGGTAAATGTCTGTGAGCTAATGCTATTAGAGGTAATAATTGGAGAAGCTATCTTTGTAATGGATAAGGTAATTAGTGTCTTTGTTAAGACCTACATGTAAAGTGTCAAATTTAAGCATGAATGAGTCAGAGGATTCTCTTTCAAGTCTGGTATTAAAATGTCTTTGAAGCAAGATGCAGTTAATCAAGTCGTTGAGACAATGCCCTTTCTGGTTGAAATGGCAAGAAACTTTTTTCTTTGTGATCCTGTCTAATATCTCTTTTGTGGGCATTGATTCTTTGGTGAAGTGTCAGACATTTGTCCAATGTACATAGCAGATGGACACTTTCGGCACATGATAGCATAAATTATATTTCTGGATGAGCAGGAATATGTGTTCTTGATCTTATAACTCAATTGGTTAGGTCCAATAATGGTATCAGCAGAGTGAATATGTGGACAAAGCTGGCAACGGGGTTTGTTGCAAGGGAAAGTTCCAGGGTTGGTATTAGTGTGCTGTGTCCTGTAGTTGTTTGTAAGAATTATCCTGAGGTTAGGTGGTTGTCTAGAGGAGACTATGGGTCTGTCTCCCAGAGCCTCTCGGCGTGTAGTATCCTGTTCCAGTATAGGTTGTAGTTGATTGATAATGCGTTGGACGGGTTTAAGTTGGGGGCTATAGGTGATGATAAGTGGTGTTCTATTGTTGGTTCTCTTGGGTCTGTCTTGAAGTAGATGGTTTCTGGGTATTCGTCTGGCTCTTTCAATTTTTTTTTTTATTTTTCCAGGTGGGTAATTGACGTTTATAAATGCTTGGTAGAGATCCTGAAGTTTCTGGTCTCTGACAGTGGGATTAGAACAGATGCGATTGTATCTAAGGGTTGGCTATAGACGATGGATCGTATGGTGTGTCCAGTAGTGAGCGTGCTGATACCTGAGATGATGGGGCATTTTTACATCCCAACATCAGTTTCAGCCTGGACATTCTATATGAGAGATCCATTTCCTGGACACCACAGTACAAATCACCAATGGTAAATTAGACACGACTCTCTACAGAAAACCCAGAAAATCCTATAGCCCCCAACTTAAACCCGTCCAACGCATTATCAATCAACTACAACCTATACTGGAACAGGATACTACACGCCGAGAGGCTCTGGGAGACAGACCCATAGTCTCCTCTAGACAACCACCTAACCTCAGGATAATTCTTACCAACAACCACAGGACATAGCACACTAATACCAACCCTGGAACTTTCCCTTGCAACAAACCCCGGTGCCAGCTTTGTCCACATATTTACTCTGCTGACACCATTATTGGACCTAACCATGCCTATTACAAGATCAAGAACA